ATTGAAACTTTATTTGCCTTCAGGATTTCACATTTATATTTGACTTCACAATACCTTCTAATAGCCACTGTGAGAGCCTCTGGTGAACTAGCACAAGGACAGATGACTTCTTGTCTTAGGCCTTTGCTTTGGAAGACATTTAGAAATGCATCACACGAAGAAATAGACCCTGGAGTTAAAAAGTACAGAGACAACAGTATCATTCCAAGTGCAATAATCAGAAATAAACAGAAATTCTAAATAGAGAAATTCAAAATAGAAATCTAGATGCCAACCAACTAAAACATCCACCGAGTGATTGCGAATAATTGACCTGTTGGTTGAAATCTATAGATGTTCCTAAAGCAACTCTCTAATATACCAACCCTCACTTAAACTTCTTTTGTCCAGAGAAGAAGATTGAAATGCACTGAGCATACTTCTGCCCCTAAATGCAACTAGCTATTAAGGCTAACTTAATCGGTATTGTATAATCAAGTTCTTTATATACAATAGAATTAAACTATGTGTAGAACCAAGTATTATTCTGGAAATTACATTTCTATTTCAGGATACTACTTGTACTGGGTACATGAAAATCATTCCATTTTGTATAGAATTTCATTAAGGGTTTCTAGAAAAGTGTATTTATATTCCCTCTGCTTCTAATAATTGAATTTCAATTTTCATTTTGTATCATTTTGTAAGGTCAGATATGACACAGTACAAAACATACATATGATGTCCAACTAAAATCAATTACTTTCAACAACCCTTGAAATCCTGGTTACTATATTGTTGCTGTTAGTTGCAAACTCGTGTCTGACCCATCGCGACCCCATAGACTCCATATTCCAGGCCTTCCTGTCCTCTACCATCCCCCGGAGTTCATTTAAGCTCATGCCTACTGTTTCAGTGACTCCATCCAGCCACCTCATTCTCTGGGTTACTATATATTTCCTATAAAATATACTGGTTTGGAGTTTTGCAGCCTTAGATAAAAACCTAAAACTCATAATATTTTATATGAAGTAGTCGACATTGTCCATTATGAACAGAAGATCTGCCCAGAATTTTCTGTTGAAAATTTGAAGGATAGTAATAGCAGAAAAGGTCCTATCAGTGCTGAAACCAAGGTGTAGAACTATTTCCCTTGTTCTTTTATTACTTTTGGCACCAAGTCAAAATTGGGTTTTTTTTTAGATACCACTGGAGATTCAATCAATTTCAATTTAATTTTCTAACTTGCTTTTGGATCATAGTTTCAATCTAATATAAAAGTTATTTCAATATTTCTATTAGCTGCCTTGAATCTTACTTTGGGATATTTAAAATTGTAAAAATGTGTAAACAAAAAGCAACAACTCAGGAAGCGGAACGAGAAACAGGTTGCTACTTGGAGCATGCATTCTTTACAATTGATGGAACCTACACATATAATTCATGTTTTGTATGCCTGTATTTGACCAAGGAAAGAAATCACCCCTATTGATGCCTAGTTTCAGTTGATTTCCTGACAAATCTTCAGCTCTTTTCTACTTTCAGGGAGAAATTTGACACAAGTTGATATAACAGCTAGCCAAATTATATAGAACTATGCTGGTTTAGTTTATAGTACTGTGAAATATTGGATTTGCTTTAGGATATCACTAAAGAAATGAAACTTTGAAATATAATTTTTGGGTGGGTTCTAGAATAGAAATATTTTTAGACTCCAATTTAAAAGAGAAAGAACTATCAAGATATCTCAGGAAATGACACATTAAGATTACAGGCATACATCCTTGTTTAGTGGCTTCATTGACTATTGACATAGAATGTCCAACAGCAAAGCCAAATAGACTGTATTCTTTGTTCCATACTTATCACTTACATGGATTGGCGCCATCAGCCACTATCAACATTCTAAGAGAAGAGAGGTTGATATCACGTTGATCTCTGTGTGCTACTAATGCCCAGTGCATATCTCTGGATTTTACACAAGCTACTTTTGCTGAGAGGTATACAAGAAACAAAAAAAAATACCAATGAATTAAGACATAATCCCACAAAAGTATGCAATATACAATCAAAGATATTTAAGTTATAATTCCACTAGTAAACATCCATAATATATAAAGTATGACCAACTGGCAGACAAATTGGACTTCAATTTGGATTTTCAGTTTTTATAATCTTTCACAGATTGTGTGTGGAAAAAGAAGGGATGACTTCTATTTTGCCGGGTTAATACAATAATACCTACCTCCTACTCCCTCAAAGTAGATTGATATAGCCATCACGCTTACCTTTGTACTGGCACACCTTCTGTATCCATGAAAGTGGGTTCACTTTCATTAAGGAATACGGGATGCTTATCACATGCATCATGTTCATAACACTCTGAAATTAAAGCAAGAAAAGAGAGGTATCAGCAGTGAAGAAACTATTACCAAGTGGGATACCTGGTTGACATAATCATGTCTTCAAGGTCAAAAAGAGGAGACCAGATCTATCTCCATGGGTAAGATGGTCCAGAAGGCAGGAGTCATGGCAGAAAACGCTCTTCTAGATTCCACCAACTGAAATTCCTTGGCAGCTAACACTTGTGTTTACTTCTGGTCTGGGTTGCATTGGCTAATCTCAACCCGACCTGGACCCACCTTCTAGTCATTGTCCTGCAAGCTTTCACTAACGCGGAGGGACAAGGATTTAACAGATAGATGGTTGAGGCCCCAAAGGATACCGTGGCTTATAGGATCAAAAGAGAAGTCAACATTCATGTTCTTCCAATGATGTCCCAGGCATATATTAGCAATCCGAGTGCAGAGGCCACTCCTGATGCAGAAAACTCTGCCAGTGGTGCACAACCCGAAGCTGCGCAAAGGTTTTCTTAGCCATGGCTTCCACCTGTTCCACCTGCTCTTTTCAGCAGGAGTTGCGAGTCCAAAAGAACTCCCAAGTTGTGAACTGGGTCCACTATGGCACTCAGAGTCATTTAGTCTTGTGAGGAGGGTTCAGCCGAAGCCTGTTGTCCCCCATACAAAGTTAGGTATCATTAGCATACCATATCATCAGAATTATGATGCGTGCTATTTCCTGTACGATCCATCGCATCCAACTTCATGCAGATGTTAAAAAGGAGTGGAGAGAGCCAAGGCCTGTGGCATAGCCACTGAAGAGCAGTGGTGGACTGGATCTCTCATTCCCTATCAACACCGGTTGGGGCTGGCCTTGGGTAAAGGGGCCAAACTGTGCCGCCCAGCCACCGGCCCTGTAACCCTTTTAAAAACCCGTAATTCCTCTATGAATGAGGGGACTGACAGGAATTATGACTCAACTTTGACAGATGGCCCCAAAGGATACCATGGCTGATGGTATCAAAAGCCACTGAGAAGTCAAGGAGAACAAGGATGGATGTACACCGACATCCTGCCCTCGCCAAAGATGCAAGTGCAAGTGCAAACAATACTGTTTCTGTCCCCTAAGGGAACTTGAAACCTGCCTGGAAGGAATCCATTTCATCTAGAATCTTCTAAAATTTCAGAACATAGCTGGAGTCCAGAGATGGTCCCAGAATTCTCCTTAAAAGGGTCTGGGAACGTGCCCTCCTGCAGTGAGAAGTGGGTCTCACTCCTGCCTGGACCCACCTTCGAGTCTTTTTCCTGGAAGCTTTCACTAACCCGGAGGGACAAGGTTCGAATTGATAGATGGTTGAGGCCCTAAAGGATACCGTGGCTTATAGAATCAAAAGCCACTGAGAAGTCAAGGAGAGTAAAAAGAGATGTACACTGTCATCCTCAAATTACTACAGCTGAAGCTTCGAGATATCCCTGAGGGTATCCCTGAGGGTGCTGCCCAGCCCAAATTCGACAAATATCCTCAATGGCTTAGAGTATCAAAGTCCTGAGAAGTCACAAAGAAGCAAAAATCACATCCTGCCCTTGCCATAGATCATCCACAGGTGCAACCAATGCTACTTCTGTCCCACAGCCGCACCCAAATCCATTTCATCCAGGATCAGCAGAAATTCCCAAACATTCCATCTTCTACTCCATCACCCCTAAAATATATAGGGCAAACCAAGGCTTCCTTAAAACATCCGAGAATATGCCCTGTCTTGCAGCATGGAATTTCTCTGTCTGAACTCGCCAGCTCCTTGGCACCTTGGAGGGTTTCGTCAACCACGGGGGACAAGGGTCTTAATTAAATTTCAATATAACGAATGTTTGTTTATCTATAAAGAATCTTCCCCAAGTATTTTTATAGATACACAATCAATAAATTAGAGAGGAACTATCATAGGTCATGGCAACCTCTAAGAAAAATCCTGAGATATCAAATTTTAAACAAGTAAATGGCAATCAGCTAAAAATGGGTTAGAAAATAAGGAATTCTCTGGTCTAATCCTGACAATCCCGAGCATTTTAGCATGCCACAAAGGAGCAGCTGCGGACTCAACCTCTCCTTCCCTATTAACATTCATGAGGATTGGCCTTGGAGGAAGCAGTCAAACCCCAAGCAAGGCTAGGCTGCCCAGCCCAAATTCGAAAGATGGCGCCAAAGGATGCCATGGCTCATGGGATGAAAAGCCACTGAGAAGTCAAGGAGAAAAAGGATGGAGGTGTACCATCATTCGGGGAACACTGATGTTCTTCCAATGATGTCCCAGGCATATATTAGCAATCCGAGGGCAGAGGCCACTCCTGATGCAGAAAACTCTGCCAGTGGTGCACAACCCGAAGCTGCGCAAAGGTTTTCTTAGCCATGGCTTCCACCTGTTCCACCTGCTCTTTTCAGCAGGAGTTGCGAGTCCAAAAGAACTCCCCAGTTGTGAACTGGGTCCACTATGGCACTCAGAGTCATTTAGTCTTGTGAGGAGAGTAAAAAGAGATGTACACTGTCATCCTCAAATTACTACAGCTGAAGCTTCGAGATATCCTTGAGGGTATCCCTGAGGGTGCTGCCCAGCCCAAATTCGACAAATATCCTCAATGGCTTAGAGTATCAAAGTCCTGAGAAGTCACAAAGAAGCAAAAATCACATCCTGCCCTTGCCATAGATCAACCACAGGTGCAACCAATGCTATTTCTTTCACATAAGGGGACTTGGAACCTGCCTGGAAGGAATCCATTTCGTCCAGAATCCACTATAGGTTTTAAACCTTCCACCTTCTATATTATCCTCTCTTAAAAGAGATGTTGGGAGATTGGACAGATGCTTTCCAGACAGATGGACTGAGAAATTTTTTTTAAAGAAGGGAACAAACTAAGTTGTGACCCATATAGGGAAAGCTATGAGTGATGGTGGCTTGGACAGACTTATCGCTTTGAGCTCTTAAGCTCTCTTAAGCACTCTTAAGCTGAGCACAAGATGAAAAAGTATATTAATCAGTTTGATAATGATATGTGACTCAGATTCAGGTATTTTTCTCAGCCAATAATGTATCTTTTTAGTTGAGTTCATACATCCAAGACATGACTTGTTTTAATTAGTCAGAATGTTGAATTAGCCAGAGTGACTGGCTGTACATATATCAGTCAAATTCCAGATAACTACATTATAATTCAGTTTGATGTTTGAACCTAGCCTTGAACTTACTTAAGTCAGGTAGGAAGAAAGTTTACAAGTGAAACTGTGAGCATCAAAAGGCAGCAGCATTCTTCAGACTAACAGATATGCTGGATCAGTTCCAGTAATTGGTAGACAGAGGCTGTTCCCATTTTTAGGGTCAAGAATGAGATTAAGAAAATATTACCATATTGTCCTTTAAACTCCTCCAAAAGACAATGACATTCATAGACTGAATGTCTGCAGTTTCAGAAGTAAACCTGTCAGTTTTCCAGGATATTTATTATGGGAGAAGAATAGTGGCTTCTAACACAAAGTTCTTCCAGTATGAATATCTGCAAAATTAAGTTCTAGCTACCACTTTTCAAACTACCGTGTTTCTCATTTAATAAGGCCGGGTCTTATTTTTATTTTTTTTTGAGCCAACATGTATTTGATGGAAATGTAAGCTGTAACATCCCATTTTAAAGCAATTATTTAAAATAATGGTAGACTTACTGTAAGGATGCCATGCCATAAACCCACATCTTTTTTGAAATCCAGAACATTCACAATGGTTTCAGCTTCATGACAAAAAACAAAAATAAAAACGATGTTAGTTCCTGGATGCCAGGTACAGCCAATGAAAAGCTCCATCTAAAAATGTAATTGATTCATTTTTTTCAAAAAAGAAAATAATTGTAGGACAATTTGAAGTAAATCAATTCTAACTCATTGTTTTGACCTATCTGATCCTTCATTTCTCTTTCCTTCATTGTCATTTGCATAATATGTCACAGTGACTTATTCTCCTGAAAATAGGTGGGAAATGTCAAAAATAAGAGCAGGAAATTCATAATTTCCAAAATAATGACTGTTCCACTGACAGAGATTTCCTCAAGACATGTAGGTAATAACAGATCTCAAAAACTTGAGAAGTTCATATTAATTAGAGATGAAAATTACAACTCTGAAGTTGTTCTTCATCTTGGCTGACAGTCTGAAGTCTGGAAAAATCATATCCCACAGCTTTCTATCTCATATAAACTTTTAGAGGTCCTGATCTCAGCTGAATATTTGTATCCAGTTCCTCTTTTTATTAATCCTGGTTGTGTTTTGCAGCATGACGGGCATATCCAGCCTGAAATGGGCCTAGTAATTGCATAAAAATGGATGAACTGTATCATACTTATATCCTGTTTCATTTTCCTGGTTGATGCCATGGGAAGAATGAATTTTCTTTCTGAGGGATGACGTAAACTATTTTAGACCTTGCACTACAATTTCTCTGTTGTTCTCACTCACAACAAGAAGATGCTTCAAATACTGCAAAAAAGGGCAGATGTTTCTGGAAAAATTACTGTAACAAATACAATTTTGTCCAAGGACCCTACAGTTCTGAGAAGATTCAAAAATTAATTTGCCTAAGAAATAATCTGTGTTGCTTTCCAATTTTGGGGGAAAACAGTCTAGCTCCGGGCTATTGAATAATTTTCTCCATCCAATTATTGAAAAGAAAATCCAGTAAAATCTATCATGCTAAATCATTTTCTGAAGCTAGTTTACTCGTTGTTGTTTTTTAAGTGTTGAAATACCTTCTGTGTATCCACATGCCTGGGTGAGCGCTTGACAATGGGTCAGCAATGCAATCCTTGTCACCGTCACGCCAAGAACACTTCCATCCTTACAAGTTTTGTACTGCAGTAACACAATTTTGCTCATCAGCGTCAGGGAATAACATCATTGTTGTCAGTTTAATAAACTGGAGATACCTGTCTATGCAAGATGCTCCATTGAGTCATCTCTCCATTCATATCACCCTGCTAATTGTCTATATATCCTTATCGTCCATTATCCTAGCTCCCTAAAGATCCAGACTAAGCAGGTTGGGGGTGGGGGTGGGGGAAGACCCAACTCTTATATTGATAGTTTGCCTGAATGGTTGAACAATCTTATTGAGGCTCCTTGATCTCTACAGAAATCCAAATTAAAGTATCTCCATTAGAAAGCTGCCTAGTTTTTGCTTGAACTCATCCGGTGAAAAGCAGCCTATTTGTTCCCCAGGAAACAGTTTTATTATCAAAGCTTATTAACATTATAAGCTTTTCCTAACCAGTTCTAGATTCTGCATTATGACCAATGGTGAGCAATTTGAAGCCTACGATTGTGTGACACCTCTTTAAATATTTCAGCAGTCCTTTCCTCTGAATTCTCTTGCAGCCTCCATCTCTCAAGTTAAATCTTCTTTGCTGCCTATCTTTGAGCCTATTTTGATTTTCTTCAAATTGGCAATCACTCTTAAAAGAGAGTCTGACTGGCACAGAAACTAAGCTTGAACCATGGCCCCTCACGACTGCAAATGACTATGAAAGATTGCAATCTAAAATTGCACTTGCCTTTTTTGCTGTAATATCAAAATTAAGCATAGGCACTATAATGATGAAGCCCTTCAGATTCAAAAGGACAAAGGGGGGCTTGGCCCTTTACATAACTCCTGTGGCCAACCCCTAAAGGCAGCTATGAAAGCTTTTGCCAGCTTAATATAGGATTTGATACTGTGCATTTATTTTTGTGTTCCTCTACTTAATCTTTGGAAATAGAGATGAACTAGAAGTCCATGTAAGCTAACAAGCATATTTTGGAATAAAATGTCTTTCTTTTGTTTCTGTGGACTCTTAAGCCACCAATATGTGCTAAAAGTAAAGTTGAATAATATAGTCCCACTGGCTTCTAAAAAGAACATCTGTCAGGAGTTGTCAAACTGTCTAATGATAAAATGTAATCCCCATGTTTCTATACACATCGGTATCCATCCCTTCCCTGTAAAAGTCTGCTGAGTGCTACTATGTCTGCTCCTGCATCAGTTATCTTGATATTTAATTCATGAAAAATATTATGAAGTATTCAATTTTCTTCCTTGTTTATTTAAAGCACTTCTATTGCATCTATCTTTTACAGAGTCTGGCACATGGTATTGTACTCTGGAACTTTTCAAATCAGCTTTTATTGAGAAGTTTCCAGTGCTGTTTTTAGAAAACTTCTGATTCAATAGATTCAGTGGATTTCAGATGCAGCAGATAAAATCTGTCTAAATTGTATGCCCCTAGGCATGTTTAATTCTATTTGTGATTTTATACCTGTAGCTGTTTAGAATCCCATTAGTGTCAACAAGCCATTCTTCTTTTTAAGGGATACCCTTTCTCATTAGTTCTTAACGCAAAGATTATTGTATAATCTATAAACATAACAAGTTCAAAGATGCATCCACTAAAATGGCTATCCATTTTGCTGTTCAAAGATGAAGGGGGAAAATATGCTGTATAAATTTAAATATCAAGCTTTTTAAAATTTCCCTAACAATATTTTACAAGTGCAGTTTGCTATAGTTGCATAGGACTGGAACTGTTTCATATACACCTTACTATTTAATGAGTACATTGCAATATATTTACTTAAAATATTTAGTCCACTATTAATCTGGACCCAGATTAATAGATGGAAATGATGCACATAAGAATATGAATGAACAAATGTATTAGGCACATTGCACTCACCTCAATGTAAGCTGTGTCATTGTTCGCATCTTTGATGTGGGGGAACCAATCTCGGGGAGGTTTTGAAAGATGTTTTGATTCAGTCACAAACCACAGCAGCTTTGGCCAGCCTTAAAAACAAACATACAAAAAACTTTTTAAAAATAACAGAAGTCATCATGCAATATTGTGGTCCACATTTCTTTCATAAAAATGACTTTGGAAAGTGTTCTTCAGCAACTCGGAGATAACAAAGAAGGGTCAGTAAAAGCTGGAACCATTAGATACAAAATCCTATTCTTGTTGAGCACACTCAACCTGAGAATTTGGCCCCAGTTTCAAACAGGCACATGAGGTGTTTGACTACACTGCCCATAAAGCCAGGTTCTGCAACCTTAAACCCTGAAGAGCCATTTGGACCCTTTTCCCATAGAAAACACCGGAGGCCTCAAAACCTGGGTGGGCGTGGCCAATTCATCATCACTCCTACCCAGTCACATGACCCACTCACCCAGCCATGCCGTACCAGCTTTTGTGGCTCCCGGTGTTTTCTGTGGGAAATGGGTCTCTCTCTCTCTCTTTCTCTCTCTTGCTCACTCGCTCGCTCCCTCTCATTTCTGTTTTTTGTGTTTTACCTTCTCAGGCTAGGCGAGGAGTGACTGGGAGGGGAGGGCGAGGGGCAGGGCCAGCCAGTGGTGGGATCACCCAACAGGAAGCCATAGCAGAGGGCACAAAGAGCCACATGCGGCTCCAGAGCCGAGGGTTGCTGACACCTGCCATAGAGGATCAACTTCATGTTCCTACAGCTTCTTTGTCTTTCCTTCTCCCACTTCTCATGCCTTGTTGCCAAGCAGCTGGCATGTCACCATCTGCCTTTCAGAAGCTTTGAAAAATATCGAGAATGATAAGAGCAAAGGCCATATGAATGCTTCTTTTTCATATTTTATTTCATATTTACACACACCTCCAGGACAAAATATAGAAGGGAATGCTTTCTAGCAAATTTTATTTTGCAAAGCTGAGAACGAGTGGATTTTTATTACTCCAGAACCCATGGTAGTTCAGATGACGAGGCATGGATGGAACAACATTGATTTACTGAATAAAAGCTTTGGGTTTCAAGGTCTGTTGAAGACAGGATGATTGTGGGTTGGCTTCAGTGAACTGTTCCATTTAACCTCATCCTGCCAGGAGACAATAAGGGTTTAGTCGGGCACTTCTCAACAGTATTGAGATAACAATTATGCCCAACTACAAGAACAATTGAATTGGATCAGAACAGGCAAAATAGACAGGACTGATCTGAAAAGTACAGAGATTTCGAAGACATAAAGTCAGATACCTTTTGCATCTTTTAAATAGAACAATTCTCTACTTTTGCTCATCACTGGGACATGAAATCACAATATTGAGTTAACCCCGCACAAACTTACCTTTAAATTGTGGTATCTCCCCTGTAGGGCTTTTAGGTAGTCCTTTATGGCATGCATCACTAGTCAAGGCTACAGTGACACCACAGCTTCCAAGCAAGAAGCCGATCTGTTGGCTACCTGCATCCTAGTTGAAAAAAAAAAGCAAGGGAGAAAAAGCTTCTAAGCGAATCAATGCAAAAGCAGTAATGAAAGTTTTCCTTTAAAATATATCTGAGCTATTAACATTTGCTTTACTTCGTCAACCATTTTTTTTAAAGACATCTATTATGTTTTGATCAAGGTCCTTGGCTTTCAAAGCTTCAGTGCTTTTGTAAGAACATTTTTTGATAAAATATTTAATACAGAGAATTGTATTTTTCTTTAAAAAGCAAAAATCAGGTCATGAAAGACCCCAACATTTCCAATCTTTGAAACTACAACTTGACATTTGGTGCACAATTTATGACAGGAGATGAAAATCAGAATAAAAACCAGAATCAAATATGGGCACAAAGCAATCCATAAGCTAAATAGGCAGATCTTTTTATTTATCTATAAAAAGCAAGTATAAGATTCCAAACCAGGAAAAACATTAGACTGCATTAACTGGGAGTGGAATCTATTGCTTATAGGACATGGGAATGACTTCTGAATTAGATAATCCAAAGAAAAAGAAAAAAAGTAAATTTATGGGAAAGAGATCTAACAGCCAATAATAGTTCAGCAAATTATGTCTAAAAACAAAAGGAGGGACATGCAACCCCTGTTTTTTTAATTGCCTTCCAGATATCTTGGGCTGACCATTATTGCACACCAATGTTTTAGAACAGTTTGATTCTATGACAATGTCTGCATCCTACTGGATCATAAACTATTGTATTGGTTGGATTTATGTCATACATTAAGCCACAATCTGCCCAATATTTAACATCAACACATTGCTTTGCCTCACCATTTTCACTTATAAAGGCCTTCAGAATTTAGATTATCCCAACAGAAGTAGGGGCACTTGAATTCTGTGAAACCCCAAGCAAAAAATCAACAAAATTACCACAACCATAGCATTTTTAAAAAATCATTTCTTTCTATTTTTTCCTCTTCTCTCCTCACTGAAGCTAACACAGAATATTATAGTTTGGAAAATTCTAGTTAGAAAAAGCAACAACCCTATATCAACAGTATTCGGTTTCTGTGTTTCAATTTGGTCAAGTCACAGGTACTCAACAATATACAACAGCTCAAAATATACAGATAAAATCCATCACTATACCCTAGTATCTGTTCAAGATGCACCAGACAATAGCCAGACACCACGTTTTTCAAAACAGAATAGATAAGTTTACAGCAAGACTTTCATTGCATTACAAAGACATTAGCACTGGAAATCTGAAGCAAACAAAAAGCAGAAATGGAGGTTTTGTGACTATCAAGATAGTAAAAGAAAGGTCTTGAGATATAGATCAGTTTTGTTCAACAACTCAAGTTTGTTTTTGTTTTTTAATGTATACTTAAAAGTTCTTAAAAAGCTATCACTTCTAAGGGAAAGACATGCATTACACTGTCCCCCGCATTCAGAGCCTAGCATCAACCTCTCTCTAGTCAGATTTTTTAAAATAGTATTTAATTACACAGTTATATATAT